CTTTTTCTTCCATAGTCCGATTTCAATCTTTTTTTTTTATTATGAAGATAATTGTTTCGGTTTTAATTAATTTTATTCAATTTTCAAAAATACAGTTTATATGTTGGAATATACCAGGAAAATAAAAAAGTATATTTTTTCTCTTAACTTTGTAACACTCTGTAGAGTAATTTTGCCAAGTAAGCTACACTGGATATGCTTTTCTGCAGAGTTTGATCCATTCTCAACATTTTGCTGTTTTATTGGTCTTGATATCTTTATCGGTTTCGGAGATATGAATTTTTGAAATAAACATTACACTTTTTGATCAAGTCTAAATTTTTGAAATAAACCTTACACTTTTTGATCAAGTCTATTTTTAATTGAAGCATGAAAGTAGGGGTTTTAAAAACCTCGTGTTACCTCCTCTTGCTCTTATAACAGCTACTAAACGTCGATTCATTCCTCTAATCAGGTTTTGGATATCCTGTTGTGGAATAGCAGCCCATTCTTCTTCCAAGGCATTTCGAAACTATTGGAGGTGAACAACTGTCCTCGGCGTTTCCTAATTCGTCTACCTAACATGTGCCATACATGTTCTATGGGATTAATGTCAGGACTACGAGCGGACCAGCGCATAACGTTTATTCCAACCTCTTCTAAATATTGTGCCACTATTCTGGCAGTATGTGGACGGGCATTGTCATGCATGAAAACGAATTCGTTGCCGATAAATTGTGCAGAAACAACAACATGTTCTCCCAGAATTTCGTCAATGTACCTCGGGTCAGTTAAAGTTCCTCGGTCAATAAAAACAAGTGCCGTTCGAACGAAATACCGCCCCATACCATTATCGATCCACTACCAAAGCTAACCCTTTCGCTAAAAGTACCTTGGGCGAATCTCTCCCCTTGTCGCCTCTATACTCTTTCTCGTCCATCAGGAGACCTCAGGCAAAATCGAGACTCGTCTGAAAATAGAACTTGCCTCCACTCTTGAGGGTGATATGGGGCGGTGTTTCGTTTGACGCTCGAACAGAACTTGTTTTCATTGACCGAGGAACTTTAACTGGCCCGAGGTACATTGACGAAATTCTGGGAGAATATGTTGTTGTTTTTGCACAATTTATCGGTAACGAATTCGTTTTCATGCATGACAATGCCCGTCCACATACTGCCAGAATAGTAGCCCAATATTTAGAAGAGGTTGGAATAAACGTTATGCGCTGGTCCGCTCGTAGTCCTGACATTAATCACATAGAACATGTATGGGACATGTTAGGTAGACGAATTAGGAAACGCCGAGGACAGTTGTTCACCTCCAACAGCTTCGAAATGCTGTGGAAGAAGAATGGGCTACTATTCCACAACAGGATATCCAAAACCTGATTAGAGGAATGAATCGACGTTTAGTAGCTGTTATAAGAGCAAGAGGAGGTAACACGAGGTACTAATTTTTAAAACCCCTACTTTCATACTTCAATTAAAAATAGACTTGATCAAAAAGTGTGATGTTTATTTCAAAAATTCATATCTCCCAAATCGATAAAGATATCAAGACCAATAAAACAGCAAAATGTTGAAAATGGATCAAATTCTGCAGAAAAGCCTATCCAGTGTAGCTTACTTCGCAAAATTACTCTATAGAGTGTTACAAAGTTAAGAGAAAAAATATACTTTTTTATTTTCCTGGTATATTCCAACATGTAAACTGTATTTTTGAAAATTGAATAAAATTAATTAAAACTGAAACAATTATCTACATTATGAAAAAAAAAAGATTGAAATCGGACTATGGAAGGAAAAGTTATCCTACATCAAATTTGTCCTAAATTTTGGTTGTCCCGAATTTTCTGTCGGTAAGTGTACAATTATTGCTGTGCTATAATATTGGGGTTACAACAATCCTCCTCTCCTCCCTACCTTTGACAAAACCTAATTCAAAGAAGTCAAGCGCATAGTGTAAATCTAAGACACCTAAATGGGTTTACAATGCCTCAACATCGTTCAACAGGTTTCCTCCGTAGTTTCACTTATAATACAGTAAAACACTACAACAAGTATTCAAATATTGTTGAAAATAAAAATTGCTCTGTTGCAAATTTTCGAAAAAATGTTAAAAACCATTTATTGTTGGAACAAGGGATCAGGTTGGATCAGCTGAAAATCATACGTTTCTTTTTACTGGGTAATGTAAAATACTGTTCTTTTTTTTTCAATTTTTTTTCAGGGTCAACATATCTGTTAGTTTCATTTTTATAGTGATTTTGATCGTTATTTTGTTAGCTATATATTCTGTACTACCTAAAAAAATTATTACAATAAAGACGTTTCAATTCAATTCAATAAAAACACATATACCTACAAAACAAACTTGTTTGGTCGTTACACCATACCAATTGATTTTTTTTTGACAGTTAAAATGGTTGCACTGAATTAATGCTTTTACAAAACCTTCTATACGCACGTCAAAGTAGTGCAATTTTGCAGTACTTTTTCAGCGCTTGACGATAACTGAATTTTATTGTTAAAATGGGTGCATTCAATTCAATAATTATTAATTTCGCAATACCTTCCATTCGCACATCATAGAAGTGCGATTTTGTAGTACTTTTTCGGCGTTTCACCGATTATTGAATTTGATAGGTGCAATCAATTAATACTTTTACAATACCTTCTATTCGCACATCACAGAAGTGCGATTTTGCAGTACTTTTTCAGCGCTTTCCCGATACTGAATTTGATTGTTAAAATGGTTGCTAATTCATACTTTTACAAACCCTTCTATTCGCACATCAAAGGAGTGCGATTTTGCAGTACTTTTTCAGCGCTTCACCGATTACCGAATTTGAATGTTAAAATAGGTGCATTTTGCATTCAATTAATACTTTTACAATACCTTCTATTCGCACATCAGAAAAGTGTGATTTTGCGGTATTCTTTCGGCGCTTCACCGAAAACTGAATTTGATTGTTGAAATGGGTGCTCTCAATTAATACTTTTGCAATACCTACCTTCTATTCGCACCTCAAAGAAGTGCGATTTTGCGGTACTTTTTTAGCGCTTTCCCGATACCTACTGAATTTGAGTTTTAAAATAGGTGAACTCAATTGATACTTTTACAAAACCTTCTATTTGCACATCAAAGAAGTGCGATTTTGTAGTACTTTTTCAGCGCTTCACCGATTAGCGAATTTGAATGTTAAAATAGGTGCATTCACTTAATACCTTTAGAATATAGTTCGCCTTACGAGTCTAGCACTACGACGTCTGAAGGGCAAGGGGGAATAACGCCATTCATTTCGAGCTTTATGCTGCCTGTCATAGGCGTGCGCGCAGCGTTTTTAAAAATTACTTTTTCTTATAAATGTAGGTGTGTAACATAGATAAATATTAAGGTATTTTCTACTGGAAGTCAAATAGGCAATATTGCAATTTTTTTATCCGCATTCTTTCCATAGTGCTAGACTCGTAAGGCGAACTTTACCCTCTATTCCCACAACAAAGTAGTGCGATTTTGCTGTAATTTTTCAGCGCTTCCCCGATCACCCAAATTAAAATATGATGGTGCTTTTAATGTACTTGGATTTGGTTTATGTTAATATACGTACTTTAAACATATTTCTAAAGCATTGAAATTAAAATGCTATTTATTCTAAATTCGGTCGGCAGTTTTTCAGCACACTCACGCACATCGTGTTTCGTGTTATCTGGGTTCCACCAGCTTCCCAACGAAGCTATGGTGCGCTTCTTGATGTTTTCGAGCGTCGTTTTGGCGATCAGCACGTGGCAACTTTATCAGGCCCACCCGGAAACGGATGCTCTACAGATTTCTACGATGAGGAATACTACGGGTGCCACACCACATTCCGCGCAAGCGCCGACAAGGCAGAATGGCAGTCAATAAGGAATAGGAGGATGTTCGTTTAGTTCCCATGATAAATACACCTACCTATACAAGAAGAGAGAATTTTTTCTTAAAGTTGTTTCCAAACATATATCTATGAAAAAATATTAAAATTAATGGTTATTATTCCAAATAATATACCAGCACTCCGTCTATGAACTGTGAATATTAACGTAGCCATGACCTTCACTTAAACTATTCTTGGTATAGAGGTAAAAATTTCGCTAGGCAGATTTATTTAAAGCCGTCGTTCTCAAAGGCCTTTGAATAAAATGTGTGTAATTTGGTATCCAGACTAAATTTGAAAAAATCAGGTATTTTGTAAATATATCCAAGAAATAGTTTACCGCATGAAATAGAAACATGTTTCTCATTTGCTATCTGTTCACCATATTTCTTTTTTTTGTGTTTAGTCAAAAAATCTTGAAATAAATATTACAAGCTTCGGCATTAGGTAAAATTCGCCGTGCGTCGGTCTACCACTGAATGAATACAAATTATTTGAATTACAGGATCAGAGCATAGCAGTAGTAGCAGAAGCACAGGACGTCTGTTCGTCTGTTCATTTCGTCTCCACGAATACTGTCGTCTTTACTCGAACCGTGCCGCCCTATATGGTTTGGCATGGATCGCGCCTGTATAAAATTACATCTCTTTTTCTCCGCTCCCTTCTAAAAATACCACAGCCTACGTTTATTTTGAGAGAATTGTATACAATTTTTCTTCTAATGAAAGAGCCTTATTTACTTCGTTACAATTCTGTGATAGGTACCCTGAAAATGGTTGACTTCTCAATTTCAAACCACAAATTTGATATCATTTAAATACTGGATCGGAAGAATTTAATTTTCACAAATGAATAAATTAATAGAAATTTACCTAGAGTGAGAATACGTTAGGTATTGTTGTTTATTTCCGTCTTATTCGACCTAAGAAGATCACCTGCTTCGAGCGTATGCTTGAGCAAAAGACTGAGATTGGCATGAAAGCAGTTCCCATTCACTAGAGTACTTTGAACATTTTCTATGGATGAATCATTGACAGCCACATGAAAGAGGCACCTATAGAGCCGGGATTTTAAAAAGTTTTAGTACCACGATCATTTTTGAACCTGGCGTCGCGACGTATTAGTGTGGTGGGGTTTGGCGGGGGACGTCGTTACGCTCTGGTTTAGAACTAAAGTGCACGTTGAACTCCTTTAGTTAGTGCTTTGGAGGCCAACTAAGCAAACTCAAAGATAGACGAACGACTCGACGACGCGCCGTACGACGGGACGACGAAGTACATCGCGATACGCCGCGAAGTGTGTGCTGTGAAGTGTCAAAGTGTGGGGTTAACTTACCTCTATACGACCCTTGTTTGGAAGTAAGTTTGAAGTGTGTTGGTGAGCGTAAGTGCTTATCTAGTGAATTGAAAAGTTATCGTTGATTATAAGGACTGAACAGACAATATATCATAAATTTAATTGTGCGCCGTGCACCCTTTCGTGCTCAGCCTAGATCCGCAGCTACGCTGTAACACACTGGTCGGTATAGTTGGAGAGACTTGCTGAATCTTTCCTCCGGTTTTAGGGCAGGGTTGGTGTCAATGATATCAGGATAACCATACACAGATAGCATGGGAGTGGCGGAGGATTTCGCTCCCAGCTTCTCTCAGAAGCCGCAGCTTAGGCAGGAGGATGACGGGAACAAACTCGTCTTCGAGTGTCAGTTGCTCGCTTCCCCCAAACCGGAAATTCAATGGTTCCGAAGCGACACACTTCTTTCGGAAGATAGTAGAACCAATTTTAAAATACAGTCCATAGGAACAAATAAATTTTTAGTAATATTGGAATTAGACGATGTCATCGAAACCGATGCTGGCCTTTATAAGGTTAAAGCTAAAAATACGATGGGAGAAGTGGCTGCTTCCATTAATCTTAATTTCAGCCGTGAGTACATTTTTCATAAAAATAAAGAATTCAGCACAATTTCTAATACAATAATATTAGTTTGGATCAGGCCCAAAACTTTTATTTTTTCTCTCACAAAATTATCTCGTCTCATCTATTACTTCGCCTACTAATCATATTTTATTTTTAGCTATGGACGAGCCGAAAGAAAAGTAAGTTTAAATATATAAGGCTATAATAGTTTACAGGTCAAAAATATATGCAGTACTAAAAGACTAATAAACTTTTAGACAAATTGACGGTCTTGCACCAACTTTCGCAAAGAAACCAGCAATTCGACAAGAGGAAGACGGTAAAAAACTGCTTTTTGAATGTCGAATTCAAGCGGATCCCCGTCCAGTCGTCAATTGGTTCCATAATAACAACCCTGTTAAAGAAACTCCCCGTCATAAGGTAGCCAATAATAAATGTATTTTTGATGAAAGCACTCGGCCTCATCATAGATTAATTTGATTCTATTATCTCTACTAGATGATTTACATTGGCAGTGGATATAATAGAAATAGAAATTTCTTGATTCTGAAAATAAAATCCAGAAGATGAATATCTATTAGTTTTTAATTGAGCTGAGCTGACGAATAAATGATTACAACAACATGCCCCATGAACTCGAAATAATTGAACTCACGAAATTACTTTCAGTTGCGGATAGACAAGGATGGACATTCGTACTTTGCAACCCTTGAGATAATTAATGTCACGGTTGAGGATGCTGGCAAATACAAGGTCACTGCAAAGAACGAACTGGGAGAAAGTAACGCGACGATTAGCCTCAACTTTGACAGTAAGTTAAATGTGGTGTGTCTTCTTCCTTGCTTTGTGTGTTGTAAACGCAGTTCAATGAATAAAACGTCTCAACCCTAATACCCATTGCCAAGCGCGGAATAATCCGAGTAACTTGCGGAAGCTTTTAGACGACAGCTTCTAACTTAGAGTAGTGCTTCTGCATTTTCTCTCGGGAATTATTAGCTCGAAACTAGACTGAAACTTGATTTAAAGAGCCCTAAATCTTTCCTACACATGAGCCACTTAATAGAACCCCAATATACCCCAAACCCAGTTGTCGCCATCAGCTAAGGACAAGTAAGTCAGCACTCGTGCACAGTACAATGGACTAACCGACGCCTAATCTCAGCTCAGCTTTTAATTTGCAGTTTTTTAACATTCCATTTCTAATCAATGTACATTAAAAATCGAATTCGTTTGTGTGATTTCAAGCTTAGATTAGATAAAAATTGACTATCCAATGCAATCCTAGGAATCACGGACGTCGAGGTCGTTCCAGCAAGTACCAGAACAGCCTCGACCAGTGCAACTGGATTGTTTATGTGTTTTTAGGCTTAATATGAGGTTCTGCTCGAACGGTTACCACCAACCGCACCATCAACACTTGTACTATTTAACATTTGATAACTTTCAAAGGCCATGTTCTTGCAAAATGTGACACATGTATTTCAGAGTTGCGTACACCATAATATATAGATATATATATTTATTTATTGATTTATCACTTTAACACAGTTGAGCCGTAACGATTAAAAGCTGAGCTTTTCTTTCGGTAAGCATTGTAAGTTGCGCGAGTTGCTGGCTGTCCTAAATAATGATAGCCAGTTTAGAAGAGTTTCTGCATTAGGCGATGAAGCTCCGGTGCCTGAGCAGGAGGGCATCAAGCCAACCTTCACCGAGAGACCTGTCATTAGGCAAACAGACGATGGTACTACCATCATGTTCGAATGCCGGTGCGTCGGATTCCCGAAGCCTGAAGTGCAGTGGTATGTATAACGATAAACTCGCTTCGGAATACTTATAAAGATTATATAGGTATAACGGCAAGGAAGAAATTAGGGAAGATAGCCGGTATGCTATCTCGATGGAGCTGGACCAGAAGCTTTACTACTTGGCCAGGTTGGAAATCAGCAGCGTAGAAAAGACTGACTCGGGCGAATACCGCGCTGTGGCGAAAAACAGGTACGGTACGGCGGTGGCGACCATCAACCTTAACTTCGAGAGTAATGAGAAGCCAAAGTAAGCATGACTGATTTATTCATGTATCTCGCATGCTTATCTGTCTCTCTTTCATAGAATTCCCGATGGTAAGGCGCCCCGGTTTCCTAAGAAACCCACTATCCGCCAAGAAGGGGATGTTCTTATCATGGAGTGCCTATTGGAGGCAAATCCAGATCCAGATATTACTTGGTTCCAAAGCGAAAAAAGTATCGCAGACAGTACGCGCGTTCGCATGCTAAGGAAAACGACGTCGAACGATACTTATCTTCTTACGTTGGAGATTACGAATCCAACTCGTCTAGATGGCGGGAATTATCGATGTAACGCTTTCAATCTCTATGGCGAAAGTAACGCCAATATCGCTCTTAATTTCCAAGGTAGGCTGCCTACCAAGCAGTCGTATCGTACCGTATCTGTATATATTTATGTTTGTGAAACGTCTCAATTCTATTTTTAATGTTTATGCGTATTATGTTCCAGTTTCGTCACCACTCTGCGACCTGTTTAGTTTCATTTTGCATGAGCATGGTCTTTTGACTCAAAGCCTGTCTCTAGTATAGTCATAACTTGTTTTGGTGCGTGTTACAGGTGGAGATGACGCTGCAGGTTTTGCACCTTCTTTCATCGAGAAACCTAAAATTATTCCAAATGAGAGCGGGACCCTTATTACCATGAAATGCAAATGCAAAGCGAAACCAAAACCAGAAGTTACGTGGTTTCGTGGAACCACGCTCGTGAAGGAATCGTCCAAGACAACGATTCGAGTCGTTGATGTAGAGGAAGAGATATACGAATTAATCCTTGAAATTAAGGTACCTATCTACAGATATTCATAATAATGTTAGAAAATTACAAACACTCAAGAAGACCCAAATTTTCGGTTATTACAATGTTAAATATGCTTGGGGTGACAAAAAAATCATACCTCTAAACCGTATGTATGTTTCGCTTCTAGAAGAAATCCATAAATTAACTTTTCGAGGTACCTACCCTTGATCGTAAAATTAAACCACTTATGTTTTGACTTAACAGCTTACACCTAACGCCGGTGTACAATTTTGCACCAAACGACGGTAGTAGTCGTCTCCGTGTAAAGTATGTAAAAATACCACCTTACCTTAAAAAACATAGATTAGATTAGATTAGATTGTGTTAGGGGCGTTAAGGTGATGGACCTCTAAGCACTGCGACCTGGATAGATCCATTGTGCTTCCCCTTTTTCTAGTAGGGTCCCAGGTTGACACTTTTCGCGAATGTCACGATTTTTCCGGGATTGGTTCGTTTAACATCCGCAGCAGTCAAATGTGTCTGCTCCGGATGAATGAGTCTTCTGTGACATAATCCTTCGCATTTGCAGAGTATATGTTCGGCAGATTCGGATGCTTCTTTGCAGGAGCGGCAAGGCAAAGGTCTGATTCAGGTTTACCCATCTTTTTCAGGTGGTAGCCAAGAGGGCAGTGGCTGGTGAGGAGACCCGTTATGAGCCTCAAGTCTGGTTTGCTGCAATCGAGTAGTTCCTTACCTTAAAAACATAACTATCCTCCAAAAATGAGTTAGACCCGTCTATTAAAATAGTAATATCTCAAAATGTCTTCATACATGATATCAATATTAGACGCATACATTTGTTTCTAGTTCAAACAAATAAATTTATAAATACTTGAATAAGTTTACAAAATTATACGATGCAAAATTTGGCAATTATGATGCCATCTATGATGCAGAAAAAACGCGGATTGATTGTTTTCTTGGCAGTTTTGAAATAGACGGTACCTATTAACTTTCCAAACATGTTGACATCTACGTAGGATCAATAAGTCTTTCCATGAGCAGTAGTTAAATATCTTGGTATTATTCTTCATTCTTCTAGTTGAAGTAACAAGTAGGTATATTATGACATAAAAAAATGCTTGGGGTTTAGCATTGAAACTTGAAATAAAAAATGAAGCAGCGACCAGTGTACTCTAGTTTGCATTCAAATCTTAGCTCAAAAATTAACTAAAACTGACAACTGAAAACTGTTCAAACTTTGCCGTTGTCGCAGGAGAAAGCTGGAAGAATTAGGTACCTAAATCATCTGTTTAATTTTGTTAATAGCTAGATAGTCTCATAGAAATTTCTTCAAAAATGATTTCCAAAATTTTCTTCCACAGTGAAACAAACGAACAGGGTATAGGCTATAATAATTCAACAAAGAGGGCGTAGAATGTATCTTGTTTTTGAGAAAGAAGCAAATTTTGACAACACTTAGAAATAAAATAAAATAGAAATTAGAAAGGAAAGAATTAATTGATAACAAGGACAAAATAACACTTATCTAATCCAACTTATAATTTTGCAGTTAGATAATTCAGATTAAGTACATATTTACCATAGTCCTGATTCTTTAAAATATGTCGGGTACCACACACTTGTTAGATTTTTATAGAAAAATAATCAAGGAACCATTTATTCAATTTTGTCCTTTTTAGGATCCGTCTGGTCCCGATGGTGGTACTTATAGATGCCACGTCAGAAACGAATTTGGTGAAAGTAATGCTAATCTCAATCTGAATATTGAAGCCGAACCTGAACCCGAAGGCGATGGTCCAACTTTCGTTGAAAAACCTAGAATCACTTCGCACCAGGGTGGTAAATTGGTCATTATGGAATGCAAAGTCCGATCAGACCCGTCACCTACCATTGTATGGTATCGTGAGGGTCAAAAGGTAGTTGAATCGACAAAGATTAAAATGAGCTATGAAAAAGTAGAGGAGGCCGTTTATTATATTAGATTAGAATTGAAAGACCCTGGCATCGAAGATTCAGGCCTTTACAAGTGCAATATAACAAATACTTTTGGGGAGCTAAACGCAAACCTAACACTTAATATAGAAATTATACCAGTTATTAAAGAGAAACCCAAGGTGATTAAAATTATCAAAAAGAAAACAGTTATTGTTGAATGTAAGGTACTCAGCAAATTTGCACCTGATTGTACATGGTTCAAGGAAGATAATGCTGTAAAAGAAGATTCAAGACATCAAGTTCAAGTTGAACAAGTTAAAGATGTAAGTACCTACATAAACCACTTTAGCTTACAACTATTGTATTGAATAATATATAAGAAACTTATTGTTTCCTTTGCTCTTTAGTGAAAATATTGATTATTCATTTTAAGCAAATGGATATACTAGGATCAGTAAAACGTTATTTAGGGAAATAAATATTCATTTTTTAGGGCGAATATGCTGTTAAACTTGAAATCTCCGAGGTACAAAAAACAGATAAAGGTATGTACAAGCTGGTAGCTAAAAACGAAAAAGGAGAAGCTACCTCACAAACTGTTGAAGTAACAGAATTGCCACCAGAAGAAAAACCGAAAGGTGATAAACCAAAATTAACCAAGTTAACCAATATTGTAAGTTACTCACTTATAAATTTTTGATATGGAACAATGACATTGGTTAAATTTTTCATTTAGACCATCGAAGAGGGCAAATCTGCTGACTTTATTTCCTCCCTAAAAGTCGCCGATAAAACAGTCACGATAATTTGGTATAAAGAATCCACTATTATACGTGAATCAAGTGATACCAAAATTACATTTGATGGCACTGTTACGCGATTAAGCATAACTAAATGTAAAGTAACTCATTCTGCCACCTACCGAGTAGTAGCTAGAAATGAATTTGGCGAAGATGAAGCTTCTGCTATTTTGACAGTCAAGAAGACAAAAGACGAGGATGAAGAGGTAAGTTTTATGATAAAATATTAGTTCAAATTTCGTCATATTAATAACTTCATAAGAAGTTATGACATACTCAATGTCACCAGCCCAAAATAGAACTTTTGTTAAGATTTGATAAGACTTTTCCCGAAAGACTGTTAAACAGTCTTGGTCATAATATGATCAGGTTTGACTTACATACATATTCCTTTTTTTTGAATTACATTTTTTGTACACTTAACCTAATAACACTTACAAGGAGGAAGAAAGCAGCGAAGAGGAGAAGTTGGACATTAAAACCAGAAAATCTGAGAGTGCAGAAGAGTCAGAAGAAGAATCAACAAAGGTACACACCATACACACATATTTTTGCTTTTTAAATTATCTTTCCACTATTTAAAGAATAATTTTCTTAACGCAATCATATTAAACTAATATTATTTCAACACGCCACAAAGACTTGTTTATTTTTGCTTTTCACTTTTTTATTTAATTTCATACCATTTACTTCAGTCTGGCTCATAATTTACTGAATAAACTCACACTAAACCAATATATTTTACCCAGGAAAGAGCAAACCAACTAGGTTTCAACAACTTTTCATATACGCACCAAAATAGCTTTACTGGAGATGCATCCGTTTTCACTTGATATTATGGAAGCCCACTTTGAGAAATGTAGATAAGAATATTTGTTCAAAAATATCCTCCTGACTTTATTAATAGTGAACGGCTATGATGCCGACTCCAAGACTGAACACAGTACCTAGGTTAAATAATTTAATACCCATGTAGGAAAATTCAGTTACCAATACCCAAGGTATCTATAACCCATTCCAAGTTGCAGAAGGCATTGTAGAAAGTAAGAAAAATAATTGCTAAAAGGGTATACTTACGATTTTTAACTTATAAACTTTCTTGCAATTATGAATACTCCAGTAGCCGCTTTTTTATTGTAGATTGTCCAGCTTGCAATTATTATCTAAACAAAAATAATTATATTTTCCTCCTCATCGAAATGTGGAGACTGGTTCAAAGTAACACAAATACCTAAGTTACTAAAGTTCACTGATTGACAAAAAATAAATTCATTCAAAGCTTCATACCTGTTATCAAATATATCTACTATAGAAAGCCGTTCACGAGATGAGTCATAATTAACAATAAAAACAACTTTCTGAGAGAAAACCAATCGAATATGCGTATTTTTGATAACGGCTTCGACAATTATTTTCACCATGCAGCCACTTGTAGTTTCCGTTTCTAGGGCAAATATTAATTTATTTCAGAAACTGTGTCTGTTCTTGAAGCCATTCCAAAAGGGCTCTCTAAATCAATGAAAATACTCGATTAGGATAATTATGTCATTGGTTCTGTCGCAGTGGGCTCCCATACAAAGGGTGCAGCGGTATTTGAGAACTTAATATTAAATTCTTCTTTAACGTCTTTTTCTATTACATCTAGAATTTTCTGCATTTAGTTGGCAAATAATTTTCTTATAGCTATTTCATAGACATCGTGTTACGGCTATCTTATCTTATTTTGTTTTTGATGTAGGGACTAAGCTTCTCTTAAACTTATATGATTTGAAAAATTCGATATTGCCGTTGCCTCGAGTGGTTGGAACTTCACCAATTTCTAATTTTATTATATGTGCCTGTATTTATATTTCAGGAAGAAGAGAAGGCAGTCCAGAAAAAAGTCGAGAAGACGGAAGAAAAGAAAGAAGCCAAAAAAGTGGAGAAGAAAAAAATTGTAGAAAACCAGAAAGATGAAGAAAAGAAGGAAGAGAAAATATTAGAAGAAAATAAAAAAGAGAAAGAAACAAAAAAGGTTGTTAAAAAAGTTGAGAAGAAGGCCGAGGATAAAAAGGAAGAAACAAAAGTAATACAAAAGGTAATTTGTTGATTTATTTTTATCTCATGATACTTGTTTGTGTAATTTTTTTTCCTTGTTAAATCATTAAAATGTCTCATTTAGAAGGACGATGAGAAGAAAGTTAACGATATCGACAAGAAAGATATTAAAGAGGTTCGTGTATCATTTTTGTGTTATTTGTTGTTGTCTAAAATTGTCTTTGTCTTATGTAGGAATCAAAAACCCAAGAAAAGAAAAGTGTTAGACGTTCATCTATGCAAAAGGTAAATATTATTGAATTTAAGACACACCTTCTCCAAAATCTATATATATTATTTCAATAAACCTTTTGTAAAAAATAATCAATACTTAATAGACAGAAGAAAAAAGTGAATCTCGCCGAAGCTCAGTAGTGCAAACGAAAGAAGATGGCGAAACAAAAATTTCTAGCCGCAGATCATCATTAGTAAAAACGGAAGAACACTCTAAAACAGAAACCAAATCGGAATCTAGACGTTCTTCTTTAGCAGATGATAAGAAAAAGAAAGTTACAGTTGGTAGCAAAAAATTGGAATCAACGCCAGAGGCGGTAAGCTATTTAAACTCTCTAACAAGCAAATCACGTTAACTTCTTCATGGTAGTTAGTTTTTCAACACAGTTGTTTTAAAATCTTGTTACTAATCTTTTGTTTTTGTGAGTAGGTAACTGAAGCAAAATATACAAACTAAAAATGTACCTTCCTAATAATATGTTTATGTTTAGCAATTGTATTGTTAATATTTGTCACTAATTTACTGTAGAAAACACCAACAACAACCACAAATAACATAGACGACATATTTGGCAAACAAACCAAAACAGGTACAAGCAAGTCTGAACCAGAAAAACGAAAATCATCTCTAAAAGATTTGGCTGAAGCAAAACCGTCAATACTAGTGGAACAGGATAAAAAACTCCTATCACTAAACGAACCTGAACAAAAATCGACTGATTTATCTCCTAAAGAATCATACGTATCGCCAAAACAAACAGAAAAGACACCATATTTATCACGAAAAGAATCACTACCACCAAATGAAGCAGAACTAAGAAAACGTACCTCCTTAACACCTTTGGAACCAGAAAGGCGTACGTCGGTTGGAGAACCCGAACGACGTACCTCGTTATCACCGTCACATACTGAATCATCATCAAAATACAAAACAACTGATGCATTGAAATCCTCACTTACAAATGAGCTATCAAAGACTACTGAGACGCCACTTGAACCATCTAAACTTGAGGTACGAGCACCTACGGAACGGAAGTATTCCTTAAATAAAAAACCTGACGAAGAACCTATAAATGAGTTATCAAAATTACAACAGACACGTGGTTTTCTCAAAAAGGTAAAGAAAATAACTTTCCTTATAAAATTAATTAATAATTGCAATTAGAAAAAAAAAAATGTGAACACTACAAAAATATAAATTAACTACTACGAAACATTTACATTTTATCACATTGTGTTAACATCAATAGCCTAATAAGTAATAATAATATTTTTTATCCCTTGAAGCTAGATTAATTTTGTCAACCTGATATAATGGCTAGGTTAGGATACCTATGTCGAATTTTTCTTCATTGTACCAATTTTGGTAAACGGTAAGACAAAGAGAGAGTCAAATGTTCGCCGCACAATCATATTTTGTAATCTACATAGTGAGGAAATGCGACTTTGGGAATTCTCATTTTTATTGCATTCTGATAAAGGGGCCTTTCCAGACCCAAATCAGGTTGAAAAAATTAATCACAGGCCATGTCATTGTAACGTAAACCATTTCTGTATACATAGTTCAACAAAAATACTTAAAACCTAAATCCTTTGTATGGAACTAAAAATATTGTTTTATTTTTTTTTTATTTTTCATGTCTTCGTTGGAATACCTTATTTTACCTGTTCTTGTAAATGTGATGTTCTTGTTGTGAAATTCAGACTGAGAAACCGGATACATTAAAGGTAAGAATAGTTTATAAACAAACATTGATAATTGATTTTCATACTCAATATTTGGCGTAATTTTATTAAGAGGAACTGTTAAATAATGATAGTACTACCTAGAGATTTCATTCTATTGAAACCGTGGAGACCTTGGCGTTATTATCAATATATTATGTATATGGTATAGGTTCGAGTGGCTCCAAAATATCTCATCAATTTGTCATGTACAGCGGTGAGCAGTATATTCCTGGATTCCCAAACGGTGTTAAATCTTTCAAAACATTTAGTGTTTAGGTTACATTTGAAAATTTTTAAATTGAAAATAAGATTTGTTTTAATGTTTTGTAACTCCTCGAATTTGATTGAGTTACCAATGATACTGGTGTAACAGAAATGTTTTTCATCAGTAAAATTTACTACTCTTCGAGCGGTTGTTTCTTGTTTCTGCCCATTTTCATGTTATAACAGCAAACCGCTTCGAAACTTCAACCAAATTACAAATTATAATGTTGAATAATGAAATACGCAATAAACATACATATACTAATAGATGGTTTGCTTTGTATCTATAAAAAAAACGTTGGTAATTTACACCTTTTTCTGTTCCATATCAAATTGATTATAAGAGCATTACATTAAGAAATTAATTGTTATATAGATAAAAAGAGTGATACCGCCCAAAGGTGAAGTTCAAAAAGGTAGCTTTATGAATATACAATTAAAACCAGTTCAAAAAGAAGCTAAAGCCTCCGAAAAAGCTACTATAGAGGTTGACTTGAAGGTAAACCATTGGAGATTCAGCCTCACCTCTTTCTTTCTCTTCCTATGTGTCTCAACTATCTCTATCTAATATATCTATCTATCTTTTTCGATCGCAAGCTGTGTGTTTTCTAAATTTAATATTATATGCATCATGGTGGAACAGATGATTTTATATAAATACATATTTAGTTTTTTTTTTTATGATGGACTTTGAGAAGTAGTTTTCGTCGACCGCTAACTAAAAAGTTATGTACTTACTATTGAAGAAAATATTTGTTCAGAGTGTTACTTGAGCAACTCTAAAGAAAATATTAAGTAATATTTCATTTCAGGGATTTCTACTTTTGCTTAAGCTGCTCCCCTATTTTTGCGTCAACAAGGGGGGAATCATCGATTCCATACCTACATGTATTTTATTAAAATCAAAATATTCCACACATGTTGCACATATTATTATCTACATATTAAAAGTGTTTCTTTTGTAAATAAATTTCTATCATTATGTTGACATTAATATTACATATCTTCTTTCTGTGACTAACTTTGCTATTTTTTCTTTCTTCTTCTCTCTCAATCTTTTTTGTAAATATTTTTTCTATGAAATATATAAGAGGTACTTAACCATTTTATTTGTTGTTGTTAGCAAGTAGAAGAAAAAAAATTAACAAAATCTGCAGCCCAAAAGGGCAAAAAAGGAAATGGACCAGATGATATTAGCGCATGGGAAAATATTCCCGACTACGACAGACCTGTTCTAGAAACATTCACACCTCATGATCACCCCGATTATGTGGGAAGAGAAAAGACTAAACTTAGCAAGGTAATTTTCTGTCTTCAGTTTGCTTATGCTAGTCATTAAAGTCATTTGACTTGTTCTCAAAGTTTGCTTGCTACACATTTTGCATATGCAATTTTTGAGGCTCTTTGCGTATTATTTTCTTTCTTACTTCCGAATGTTTTCTTTTAGTTTTGGATAATAGATATTCAAATCTTAATTTTTTTAGGGTAAAAGTTTTTTTCTCAAATAATTCTAAGTTTTGGTAGATTCTTCGACATGCATCAGAAAATACCAAACAGAAGGAGTAAATGTAAATATCACATTAATCGTTCTTATATGAAGGTCTTCCTTATGTCATATAACGAGCAAAAATAAAGGTGTTTTATTGGTCTCACGTCACACGTCAACATATAATATAATGTCGTGAATTCCGCGGGTCCACTAAAACTCTCTTTACTAACAACAACAACTTTTACTGAAATTATTGACTTCACAAAACTCACTATCATCACTTATCGCTTTTTCTCAACTTTTTATATTTGACCTGACTACAACTTAAAAAACTACGCACCTCGCTACGCACTTTATATAAAAAATCAATAAATCGAGAAATTTCCAGATATCACGTAAATTCTTGTTTATTTAAATCTAAATCACTCAATAACAGTGGTGTCGGCTTCTCCGTACCAATGTAATTTCGTAACATTGCGTCCCTGTAAAATCATCAGATCCTCCCGATCTGGCCATCAAATCTCGTGATCAGTCTGTCGAGATGCACCGCATTATCTTCAAAGTCTATACCTCTATCCAGATCCACAATCATTCCATCCATCATTGTCCTTAAAAAATAATTTCTTTGGAGAACATGTCCTCTATGTTCTTTGTCACACTCTTAATATTCTTCATCCCAACTATCCACGTGCGCAACATCTATATAGCTGTGCGTGCCAATCTACCCACACGCCTGCATGGTTTTTCTCACTATGAACTGACGTAATGAGAACTAGAAGAATGGACACCTATTCCTTGTTAACTGCCATATTGCCAGCCGCCTTGTCTGCACTTGCGCAGCCTTGTTGTAGCTCTGGTAGTATTCCTCATCGTAGGAATCTATAGAGCGTCTTTTTGAAGCATGTTGATGTTCACGATCAGAAGTTGTATCCCTTCAATCTTCTTGCTCACGGTTTTTGTTTCCCCGCTTGTGGATTTTTGCTTTCCTCCATCAGTTTGTTGTCTCTTACCTGTTTCCGCCTCAACGCTCAAAAATGATTCAATGTTCTAATTGATCACTGCTAAGAGTTCGGAACAACTCCATTATTGATCCGTTTCAATTTGGAGGCTTTACAAAACAGAAACTCTTTCACGCGGATCAGTTCTGACGCAGTGCTTGAATTGAACTGAGCGTGGTCGCCAGTATAAGACATCTGAAAATCGTACTGTTGCAGCTACTCCAGCGAAGGATAAGATTGCTTCTGATAACAATCATCCGTAATTTTTTCAGAAGTTCCTTCATTGTATATAATGTATCTGTCCTTTTTCTTCTTCTGAACATCTTATAGGCCGCTTCAATTTCTTGGGTCTTATTGAATAGAGCAGCATTTTAATCAATGCCTCTAATTCGATTAAACAAATTTTCCCTTTTCTGCTGTTGCTTTCGGGTAGACCAGGCACACGGCGTATATAGGTTTCAAATTCTTGTACATTTTCGATAGCTGTGCCTCGTGAAGCTGTCGTCGTAGTTGAGCCCCATTACAACACTCCTACGTATCAACAAGGGCATTATAGTTTTGTTGCGGAAGCCTCTTATACTGTGGTCTAAGGCGGGGTCATGAATGCTATAATCAAGTCTTAGCTCAGAGCTCCAAACATTAGCCATTGCAAAGGTCTCGAACTGACGCCTGTACATCGCCTATGATATCTGACCGTCGTATGGTGGTGGTTTAAATTTAAAATGCCGGTTGCAGAGGAAACTGAGACATTTCCAGACGAACACTCAACTTATTCACGTCCTTTTATTACATTCTTGTCTGGGTTGTTCCGTAAATATTACGGTTCAAATCCATTTTACAGTGCTGTTCTTCTCGTTTTCGGGTATCTTCTTCTTGTCATTCTTTCTGTCTCCGGGCTTCCTCTCCTTGTTCTTCTTTCTATCTTCGGTCTTCCTCTTCTTGTTTTTGTTTTCACCTAAGATCATAGGTTGAAACACCTTGTCTTGTTGTTGTTGTGCTGCACGCCGGTCCAGGTATTCTCGTTTTTCTTTTGATCCGCGATCTTCTTGTTGTTTTAGAAGTGCTGCAAGCCGGTCCTGTTCTTCTTGTTTTCTCTCTGCCCTCGAGCTTCCTTTCTCTTGTTTCTTGTCCAGTAACAAAATCACTATTCTTGTATCATTCACGGTTTCCAAATAAAGCACTATAGAAGTTTTTCTGCTTATCAGAAAATCCATAGTGCTTTGTGATTTGAAAAAGAACTCGTAAGCCCAAGACAACCTTTAACAGAAAAACACCTACAAACTACCAAACCACCTACCGAACTACCAAAACAAAAGTTTTCTTCGTTTTCTGAATTTGTACAGAATAAACAAAAAAAACCTGAATTTAATATACATAACTTCTCAACTACATACGCATGTAAAATAAAAGATTTTGGTACCGTAATAAAGGTATACATACATTCGGCATCTTTTGCTTACACGAGGTATTCAAGTGCGAAAACTTATAAGTAGCTCGTCACACATTTAAACAATTTTCTGGATAACTATCTATCCTTGCTTATTATATTGCTTTTGGAGTCTGCCTAAAACCTAAAAGTTTTATTGTTTCTATTGCTGACCATGCTTGGGCTGACTTTGAAATAATAAGTAAAAAAAAAAACAAAATACTCCTTACATTGATAGGATAAGCCTCAGCTGGTAGCCGAAGCAAAAGAAAAACCTGTTCTATCAGCCGAGCAAAAAGCTGTTCCAACAATACCTGAAATTAAAACTCCCGAAGCGCCTAAAATTGAGGTGATTAGAGAAAGAACCCCAGAACCAAGGAAAAAGTCATTAGAGCCAGTTCCTGGTGGAGGAAGTAGACGTGGTTCTCTTATACCTCCTGAAGCCATGGGTAGACGTGCTAGTCTTATCATTTCGGATGAGGTAAGATTTTTATGTGTTAACATTTTCAAATACTATGTAATTTTTAAAGATGCATCTTTATTTGATAAATCCTCTGGTAGGATAGGTAAGTAGCCATTTTATCTGACTTTTGTACTGAGTACACTTTCTGGAGTAAATACATTATAAATATGTCAATAATAATGAATCTAATTCATAAGCATGTGTATAGATTCTATTGGTATATCTATCTAATTTATTCAATACTATACATAAACATAGTATCGAAACAATAGGTATATTATTTTTTAAAGGGTATTTTAACTTGCACAAATCCCCACTAACCAAATATTACCAAATCACATACACACTATAATCCATAAACTAATATACCTATATTATAATGGCAGTTTGTGAAAAACTCCTACAAGAATTTTGTCGCCTTATAGACTTTTTAAGAGAAAACCGAACTTCAATAAATATGTATTGGTATTTTGTTAATTAAATACAATTAATTGTCTGATTTATGTTCCCAAGATCTTTGACGCATCCAATCATTGACTAATGTTTTTTAGTACAATTTGTATTTGCATCACTCATTTATTTTATTTTTATGACTAAATTTTAGAAACAATCCGATAAATATTTGATTTTCACAGTTTCACACAATAGACTATTTGAAATTATATATATATACTTAGGTACTTTCATTAATAAACTTTTCATAAAGTATGTAGGTAAGCCAATATAGCTTAAACAAGAGAAATTGATAGAGATACATTTTATATTTACTCGGTAATTGAAATAAATTTCAAATATGTCGTTCCATTGAAATTTGCCTTTAAATAAGTGGGTTCATCGTGTAATTGTTTTGTAATGTAAAAAAATCTACAATGATTATATAGTTTTTTTTATTCCATGAATCAAATACTCCAACAAAGTAACATTCTTGATTAAATAAATGGATACAACTTACAAATAACGATGCATTTTTAATATTTCTGTCCCAATTTTGTATAAAACGTCAGCGTAATGTTCCTGGAGTGTAAACAGTGATGTCACAAGTTACTTTGTTTACGTTTCCTAACTTTTATGTCTTTAGGAACATAGGAAACTCAGGCCAGGAGAGATGTTAGATGATAAAAAGGTAAAATTATCAGGAGTGATGTTCGTGATTCAGCCTGGATTGGATATGCCGTCTAAATTCGTTAACTTTCATAACTATACATTTTAGCTTCAATAATGTTTAAGGGTTTAAGTCAAAATTTCAGGTTTCTTTTTTAACTAATGTTTAATACCTCTAATTAGGAAAAAAGAAACCGATGGGATAGCTCTTAAACATTTTTAAATGTTAAAAAAAAATCTTATCTATTTGTTAATTCACTTCTTGAAAGTAAATAAAGAGAAACTTATTTTTTGATCACAAACTAAAACCAAAGTTGAATGCTTTTAGGAATATATCAATTTTTGGTTATAAATACTTAAATATTAACGCTTACTTAAAATTATATTTCTTTTTATGAAGCTTATGTATCTGTACCATGCACGAAGAATGCATGAAACGAACACATATTTTTATAGCAAGCAAGCCTCAGCGATGGTATCACATAAATCTGCAGCGAAGAAAGAGTATAACACTGTTATATTATTTGATTCCTTATTTCTTTTAGTTACACTGTTATTATTTTAGTTTTGTAACTGTTGATATTTTCTGCAGGGAGGAAAATTGCGTCCAGGGGAAGTCCTAGATCCAAAGGTGAGGTTTGTGTTGAAAAATACACAAAGCTGGCCTTTTGGTTTGGTATATGAATTTTTTACACTTAACATGTTTTTGGTTGTAGTTTATTCGCTTGATTACTTTTTTTTGTTTATCTTATTTTTTTTTTCTTTGAAGCCGAAAACAAAACGTCCCGGGGAATTATCTGCTTCTGAAAGACAGGTTAGAGGGATAAATAAATGTTGATTTACTTAGAAAAAGTCAATAATATCTTTATGTCTGTGTCTAACGACTTTTTTTTAGATTTCAAGAAAACTAGAATTTAGAAGTTTCATATGTCCAAAATTTAATAACATTTCATGTGGGATTTTCAAAATGTAAATAATATGTTTCTATTTGTAAATAGATTTTAGTCTGGTATCTACCTAATATTTTTGTCATTCTATGTCCCCTTTTATTAATTTTTTGTGTTTTTTTTTCTCCCAAGACTCTGAATAACCCAACACAATCTAATTCTTGTCATTTATCGAAAATTGAATTATCTATTCTCAAGGGCCAATAATTAAAAGATTGTATAATAATATTGCTTATACGGCCCAATAGATGACAGCTCATTTAACATTTTGTCGTGTTATTTCAGAGGTACTCCAAGCTTCCCCAATTGAGTTTTTTAGAAACTTATGCCTTGTTTTTTTGTCATTTTAAGTTTTCTTTTGATAAATAATTACCCATAGTAGAGTTTGAATATATTAACAGTGTAAATACTCGCAAATATAACTCTAATAATAACACCTAATAACAATAATGTGGCATGTGCTGCTTTTTATGTTTACATTAATGCTAAATATGCTATTAGCATGTGCCTCGCTTACCGATTATTTAATGATAGCCATTATTACATGAGCATGTTGTAGGATACGAAACAAGCCGCAGGCGAGTTTCGTATGTTACATATTATGCGAGTGAATTAATGGCAATTACATGAGAGTTGCATACACTATTTTTTCTACTCCCATTAATAAACGAAATACATATTTATTTTAAGAATTAAAATAGTAAACTTCCCAACTGGTGGTGCCATCTACATCAACAGAACCAATCCAAGACAAGTCTGTTATTTTTTTTTATAAACATTATTCATGTTTAAAATAACTCGATTCCAGTGGCTGAAAAGTATGTATCATGTATCATAATGAAAATCTGTATCATAATGAAGTTCAATATGAAACAGATTTTATTCTTTTAATTAGCGTATTATAAAATAGGAGTAGAAAAAATATCTCAAGCTCTAAGTGGGAAGTTTTTGGGTCGTTATTACTACCTTCTTGGAATTCTGGGAACGCCGCCTTTTTTAATTATTCTCCTTGGTTTTATTATACTTGATATAATGAAATAAACCGCTGGGCATTTGCTCCGTAAGTAATTTTTCGCCAAATTTTGTACCTGTATATTTTTGAAAATACGCGCAGGCGGTTTTCATTTTTCGGAAAAAGATATAGGGAGATCAGATTTTTCAATTTCTTAAGGTTTTTGTAAACAGGGTGTTAAAGAATACGATACAATTTGTCAACTTTTCAAGGATAAGTAATTTCAATATGCGTTTTTTGAAAACTAATTATTCTACACTATTTTACTTATTGGGCTTCTGATGTATAAAACGTGATTTGACACATTTTTGATGTCTCTCCTACTTTAGGAGTTATACTTTTTTATGAAGAAATGGAAATTCCTCTTATATAGCTGTAGTTTAGCTAAATTTAGTTTAGTTCAACAACAATGTATACACATTTTACAAATTATGTATTGTCAATATCTAGGACCATCTCGAACACTACGTATTCTCCTAAAATAGGAGAGATATCAAAAATTTGAGATCACTTTTTAAGAAAAAGCCCAACAAGTAAAATAATGTGAAATAATAAATTTCTGATAAAGACATATTGAAATTATTCATCCTGGAAATGTCAACAAAATACATCGCATGCATCAACACCCTGTATAAGAAAGTGAACTGAAGAAACTGAAAATAAACATATTCGAGCAGTCTCAAAGATGGATCTATACACTCGCGAAAACCGGGTGCTCTGACCACTTTTATTTTTAGAATTATTCATGTTCAAAATAAGGCAAAATATTACTTGTGCAGTAGTGTTCCAAGCCAGTTACCTATCTATAGTAAAAAAATAGACGTAAATTATCTTAAACATAATTATATAATTTTATCTTTAAACGATGGGGCGGATTTCGTGAAATATTGGTTTCTCAAAAACTTGCTAGCTGAATTAAATTGCAAAATAATGGCTCGATGATTAAAAATACAAAACTGATAACTACATATATGTGGTGGTCATTTCTAACTTTTGAAAATTATGTAGCGCCGTCGGCCAAGTGCTGAAGTTAGGAGGCCTAGTATTGCAGAACTTGAAGATATAATTAACAAGCCATCAACTCCACTAAGACCATCCGGCCGATCAGGATCACCACCCAGCATCATCGATGTACAAGAGAATTATTCTTCAGTTGAAGGTAGAACATATTTATATTATTCACATGGAATTAAAAAACACTCAGAAACACACTACTATATAGGTCTCCGCATTTAGGGGGTTGGAAAAAGTCTAGTGCGTAATTGCACAAGTTCATGAAACCTATCTGATTATTTTGATGCACTAGTCTACTTAAGGTAGAAAATTACTTGATTAAACTAACTGAATCAAAGAATCATAGTAACTTACGTCATTAGGCCAAGAAGGAGTGCTTTTGTGCTGAGCTCAAAGTTCAATTCAACAAAGTCCATATCAAGCAGCAAAGTTCCTCTGTTGTAGAATAATATGTTGTGTGTCGTAAATTTTTTTTATTTTCTTCATGGACTTTGTGATAGCATACAGTGGCTATGTTTCGATATCAACTGTAAATACTGAATTTACTGGACGCGCCGTTCCGATATTATTTTCAGTACACTGATTCAGTATTAAATGACCCCCAGAGTACGCTGTTGAAATCGGAACGGCAAATGACAGTAAAATCAGCACAGTAAATCCAGTACTGGCAGTTGATATCCGAACATAGCCAGTATTGTAAAAATATTGTTTTGCTCCTGCATGCTAAATGTATTTCAACATGATAAATCAATAGATTTGTTCCAACCCGTCAAAAAACTGTCCCAGAACGGTTTCGGAACCACTCTGTATAATCAATAGATTTGTTCCAACCCGTCAAAAAACTGTCCCAGAACGGTTTCGGAACCACTCTGTATACGAATTTCAGTTTCTACGCAAAATTTTTAGGTTTTGCGCAGATTCCTGACGGTAATATTAGGTACCTTTTCCTGCTGGGTTGGAACAAAGCTAATGTTTTAGTTAGTTAATGAAACTTTGTTTATTCAGTGTCACTAGGCAGGTGACACACTGGAGAAATAAGTTTCATGAAACTTGTTGCAAGAAACAGGAAATTATCATCATTATCATACGACACATACATTCAAATTAGGCGGAACACACTGGCCTTTCTGAAACAGGAGAGCAGAGATTGTTTTGCAAACAAATTTGGTTTCCATTTTTCCGATAATAGCTATTCGTGTTTTAAGAGAGCAAAGTTGTATTTCCACAGCTTGTATTTCGCCGACGGAAAGGTATTGTTGACGCGCGTCGATGAGCGGAGCGCGTCGATATTTTGAGATTGGCAAAGGCATTTTGTGCTCGTAATCCACACATGATTTTTTCTACAATCGCATTTTATAAAAAAATTATTCAAAGAATCCAGTTTATTTCTATCCAGTTCTAATAAAATCTAAAATCTGAATACGTATTTAGCAAGTGATAATAATAGGTATTTCAGAATGACTTATTTTTCATAAAATGAGAAATTTCCCACTTGTTGTTGGCATCATTGTAACTATCAATGTTTTATTAAGCTATGGCGGATTGCAGAATTACAAGGGAGCGTTCTTGGTACTTTGCCGCTCTAAAGCGGCAAAGTGAAGGTCATCAGGAAACGCCTACTTTACTATCACAAATCTGATCAATAAAACCTACTTTCTAGGGCGATTTTAGAAATTTCCAGTTTCGTTTATGGGTTCTACTTCAAGGGGTTCTTTGAAACTAATTTTTATTGGGTTTTCACGTGAATTCGTAATTGTTGTCAATGCTAATTTTTCAATTTTTACGAAGGCTTCTGGCATTTCTGCGATATCGTTAAAGTTGATATGGTATAGTCTATTCCTATTCCATCCGTTTTGTTCACGGATACTCTATATAACCTTTTGTGAAACACGAGGAGGTATAAGAGTTTGGTGTGACTGTGTGGGTTCCGTTGTGGTTTGTGGGAAAAATAGTTTGTTTTAAAAATGTGAAGGTAAATTTACTTGCGACGTTTCAAGTGTGAAATTTTATAAATTTATTTTAGCAACAAAATCGATTTGAAAATCGACACCTATCAAACCGTCGAGTTTATTAGAGAAGTTATATAAGTAAAATTTGGGGTAGCTTTTTTCTCAAATGATAGAAAAATGGGGATATATATGACTTCGTCATGTATTGATGTTGCATGAGCAGTTTCAAAAGTAAAATATTCATTAGAAATGAAATGAATAAACTTGATATGCTAACTGAGAATTAATAAAGCTTTTGCCACTGTCTGTGCCGACTAAGAATTTAATTTAATTCGGGGATAATTATTACAGGCAAGTCGGCAAGTCTTAAATGCGATAAATGTTGAGGCATATAACGTCACATTGGGGTAATTGCTCAGGTAATTGCTCAGGTAATTGGGTATAATTTGGAAATTTTGGAATTGGGAATCGTCGATATTTGTTTCATAGTCATTGTTGGTGTTCTCATGCTAGGTGTTGTTCAAATAATCATACTAAGGAGTTAAATATTTCAGAATTTGGCGGTTGGTAATAATCACTGAAATCGAATTACTCGTCATTCTTGGGAATAGAATCAACGTCAATATTTGAGTCTTGAGTTGGGGTTTCAGGAATACAGTCAGGAGTCAGGTGACAGAGTATTTACTGATTGGTTGGAAGATTATTCTTGTACAGTAAAATTATTTAAGCTAGATCTTTGAACTGTGTTTGGTCTTATAGTGAGGCCAGACGATATTTCCATTGGTTCTGGGGCCAATAATAATTTTGATTGATGTTGGTTCTTCAAAATGGTCTATTGAAATTATTGAAATTTTGAGATCTCGTAAATTGGTTATTGAATGGCATATTTGGACTACACGCAAAATTATTATTTGGGAAATTTGATCTTGCAAAGTTTCATTATTGAATGGCATTTTTGGAAAATTAGCAGAATAATGTCCAAGTGTATTGTTGAAACTTGATTGAGGCCTTTTCTTATTATTGGTGTTATTAGGAATTTAAATTAGACCTGTTTTTATAGTGTATGAAATTTTCTTCGATTTTCGTGCAAGAGGCAATTAAGTTGGCGGCTCCACCTGTCAATTTTCAAATTATCGTATCAAACAAACAAGTGTTTATTGGATCATTGGCATTTTGTCGATTTTGATGATTTTGAAAAAAATGCTCACATGATGATAAAAGGGGAAGAAAAAATGGGATCACTTACAGCAATACCAGATGAATCTTGGAGTACATGGGCTTAGCTTCTATGGACTTTGGAAGATGTTGTTCTGCTATCCGCACCACTAGTACTGATGGACGATTTTCATTCTGATCCCTGGTCACGAGTTCACTGTTCGTCAAAGTCTTCCGTATACTAACAGATTTTCGGTTTGCCAACAAAATCCAAATTTTCGACTGAACCAGATTGTTTTTACCGAAGTCTCCATCAAAATCCCACCAGCTTCGCAACCTACGAGGGGTGTAGACAAGAGAATGTTTTAAAATAACTTGACTACTACAATAGAACTGGCTTCAAAATAAAGGTGATCTGTTTTATACCTAATTTAAAAATAAGCTAAATAGAAGAAAATATAAATGCCGGATTGAAGTTCTCGTGGGAATGTAACTTAAGTCTTTTAAGGAATCTTGAGTTTTGACATTGTTTAAACCAATCACTCACTAGCATTGACGCGCATTAGCAGACCTGACATGTAGGAACCAAACTGCAAATCAAGTGGAACAAACAAATTTGTACGTTAACATATTAGTGCCCAGCGTCCTTATCCAAGAAGCTATAGGTACTTACCTATGTCTTTAAGCCAAGAAGTGACTTTTTGTGCTGAGCTCTATGTTTGAATTATCGGTTACGCGTCGGCCTACAATTGTGCGGTTTGTAATTTAAACGTTATTGTCGTCAAACTTTGACTCAGAAGTAATCGATTATGGCCTATGACCATAAAATTTTGTTTTGTGCGAACAGTGGCGTCAATGACCGAGATCGGAAATTAGCTCCAAGAGCACAATTTACACATAATGCATTCAATTATAAAGCATAAGCATACATAAAAATGCGGAATCAAGTTAATGTCTCTGCCCGTTTACACGAGACGCCTATGTTCCGGATGACGTATTATTGATTTAACATCTATTTTATTTATTTATTTATTCATCTCAACGGCAAAGCTATTTTACAAAATATGACATTCTAAAAATTAGTTTAAGTTTAGGTGAAAATGATAAAGAAAAATGAAAATAACACCAAATATATGTATGCAGGATGAGCAGCTATTCAATAATTATAATACTCTTGTAGTAAATCAGTATTATTCAATTTTCCTAATCTTAGCTAGCTTTGAACATACGTAGCCAACAGATAAACGAATCAAGTTTGTGAATATTTCGACGAAAGCATGTTAATAAAAGCGTTAAAACATATGAAGAATAATAAGGCACCAGGACCGGAAGGAATACCGGCTGAGCTTCTGAAAAAAGGCTCCCAAAAACTTTTTAGTTAGGTACCTGGCTGGAAAGAGGCGTGGATAATATCCATTCACAAAAAAGGTAATAAAGACGATTGCTCTAATTATAGATGTATCTCGGTCATAAGTACGATGATTAGGCTTATTGGTCGATTAATTATTAGAGACCTAATAGAACAAGAATATGGTCCTCACGAAATAGAGGAACAAGCGGGATTTCGAGCCAGACGATCTTGTATTGCTCATATATTAAGCCTTATGCAGCTCAATGAGAAAAAAACTGCTACGAACAGAGATGTCCACCTGCTCTTCGTTGACGTTACAAAGGCTTATGCCACGGTTCCTGTCCAAAAAGTTTGGCAAGTGATAGAAAACACTCAAATAAATAATACTGTAATCAAAACCATAAAACAGCTGTATCACTAGGCATTATCAAGAATAAAAATAGGATCTACTCTGTCCGATAGCTTCTCCATAACTAAAAGTCTACGTCAAGGTTGTTGTTCATCTCCCACACTTTTCAAAATTTATTTAAATGAAACACTAAGAAAGTGGAGAAGATCATGTAGTGGTATGGGGATACAACTAAATAACGAAAAGACTTGTATACACTCCATTTTGCAGACGACCAGGTAGTAATAGCCCAGGATAAAGAAGACCTAGAATTTATGACAACAAGACTTCTTACGGAATATGAAAACAATGGGGGCTATCGGTGAACAAATCAAAAACCAAATACTAATGCATCGGACATAAACTTTAGACAATAATATTGAAATATCCGCCTGCGACAAATATACCTATCTAGGCACACAAATAGATAAGACAGGCAGAACAGAAGCCGAGATCGAAGCAAGGATAGTAAAAGGAAAAAGGGTAATTGGATGTCTAAACTCGATTCTATGGTCAAATCATATATCACGTGACAGAAAACGGCTTATATATAACAATATATTCCAAAGCATAATCTTATATGGATGCGAAACGTGGAAATTAACAAAAAACCTAGAAAGAATGTCACTCGAAATGGACTTTTGGAGAAGATCTGCAGGAAAATCAAGAATGCAAAGAATAACAAACGAAAGAATAAGAGAAATCATGCAAGTAGAAAAACGAAATACAAAAAAGACAACTGACATGGTATGGTCACATAGAAAAAATTAATGACGAACTGCTTCCTAAACTAATAATGGAATGGACACCCCACGAAAGAAGGCAACGAGGAAGACCTAAAGCAACATGAGGGGGGAGTTAAGACCATGTCTAGAAACTCGAAGGAATACGGCAAAAGTTGAGCACTGTAAGGCCGATTTTCCACCAAATGGACAAAACAGAAACAAAACATAAACTCGTGTCGAATAAAACGAAACTCAAACTTTTCACAAACATTTTGAAGACTAGCGCCGTGTTTTGCGACAGTTGGAGTTTTGTTTTTCGGGTCCCGCCCGGAAGAGGTACCTCAACATCAAAAAGTTTCAACGTCTTTTGAAACTCGAATCTGTTTAGTCAGTTTTTTATTTGAAAACGGTCTTGTTGTGTTCTGTCTGGTTTTTTATTTTCGACTTGATTTCGGGACCCGAAAAGCAAAACTCCAACTGTCTCAAAGCACATTAGTTTGAGTTTTATTTTATTCGACACGAGTTTGTGTTTTGTTTTTGCTTTATCCATTTGGTGGAAAATCGGCATTAGAAAACATTGACAAAACACAAACCCAACAGTCCGTTTAGTGGAAAACCGGCATTACGGGTCACAAACCCAAGGCCACGCAATCCCCTGTTTACAATATTTTTCACGATGAGGAACAAAATGATAATTGTTGTTGGAGCAAACAAACTTCGTGTCTCAACAAGAACTTGAATCTTATTTCGATGTCAAATTCAGTTACTATTTTTTTTTCACTCACGGTTTCCAAATAGAACACTATAGAACGTTTTGGGATTTTTCAGATTTTTGTTTTTTTTGTTTGAAGGAACAAATATCACTTTCCTGACATTTATTTTGTTTAATGTTCCTAACCGAATAATAAATTGTTGTTGCGCGTTTCTTACAGTTTTAGGGCTTATGAGGCCATATACTGAAATTGAATATTCATTAAATTTGTTAGTATTGTGAAACATCGGGTCATATCAAAGTCACCCAAATAAAATTAAATAAATCAGACATTTTCGAGGTTGAAATTTATAGCAATTTTTTTCAACATTTGTTTTCTTAAATGTGGTTTGATGAACTTGAAAAAATCGTCAAGTCAATTTTGTTAGCAATAGTACCTAATAATTATTATAAGTTCAACAGCAACAGTTTCAAGTTCTGGGCAGGAGTTTACAAACAAACTTAAAATAGTTTCGTTTGTTTGTTCTAATTTTATTTTAGGAGATTGATGTTAAACGTACCTTTTTTATGCATCAAAAAATGTTTGGGACACCCACGTTGACTATAAGTTGGTGTGGTTCTCTCAGCTAGGTAGATATTTGTAGAAGTTTACTCATTTTACTTCATTAACATTTTTCGTAAGCAGCTTATCCTGAAATAGATCACATTAACAGTTGTTCGAGTAAACCAAAAGACTTTTTGAAAATAGAGTAATCAGAGCCCCAAAAGACATAATTTCAGGAATTACTTTCACATTAAATTACTCATATATGCCTACTTGCTAAAATGTATTTACAGTGGCGTAACAACACCGACATTTTTATTTATTAAGTAGGCACCTACATGTAGAATTGAGTATTTCAATAGTGTTTTATACTGACAAAATAAAAACGGTCTGTTTTGTACAGGCAAAACTTTCACTGAGACCTACCTGGGCCGGATTCTCGTTTAAGAGAGTAGGGCTCCCCGATAGAACGAATGTTTTGTCCTTGTCAACGTAATCGAAAAGTAAACGAGAATGATAAAGACGAAAAATTTGTTCTTTCGGGGAGCTCTACTTCCTGGCCCAAGAATCGGCTTCCTGGATAGAACCTATGGTATGGAACATTATAGTATTTTATTTATAAGAAAAAGTAGAAATCAACGCAATGGAAAAGATATTACCAGTTGTTAATCAACTTCCGTCCTCTGAAGAAAAATGGGATGCGATGTCCATATTGCCTCTCACAACAGTTGGTCTATATAGTCACCAAATTTTTGGCCATTTTTCTAAAGCTATACATTTTGTATATCTTTGTGGAAAATTTGCTCAATAGCTCAATATCTGTAATTTTATACGTGTTACTTAAAGTGACTACAAAATGATAAATCTCTGCAGCCCACACCAACTCTAATTATTTTCTAAATTGCATAACTACCTATATTATGTATACTTACTTTAAAAAAAATAAAGACGAAACGGGTAACGGACTGGCTACGGAATCTGGCATCCGTAGAACCGCGGATGGATTCCGCGGATGGACTGTGACGTCCTTCACTTCACGTTGGCTTTTTTTAACCCTCCAATGCGTCCCTACGGGTTAAAAAAATGATTATGAACTTGAACAAAGACTTAGGTATTTATGTGCTTATTATAATAATTGAAATGATTTATAATCAATGCAGTCTTCTAGAAATAAATATCTATTATATAGGCTAGAATAATATCAACCTAATTCAAAATACCGTCCCCACCTCTGTGATACATTTATCCTAAGGATATACTACACTTTGCCTTGTATTCGAGAGGTGTGCGAAGGTCTAAAAAATCGTGTACCAACCTACTGGAAATAAAATGAAAACTTTAACTAAACCCTCCTGCCTTTTGTTTGAAATTTTATCTACAAGCGTTTGGTTATGACATTTTTGCATAACCATTTTTCTAGTATTTGAGTTATGTCATGAGACTCATAAGACAACTAGTGGTGTTATGGACTAGGTTATAAATTCTTAACACAACTAGTGGTGTTATGAACTAGGTTATGAATCTATAACACAACTATTTTTGGTGATTTGACAAATGTCAAAGTTAGACCTGTAAAGGTAAAATGAAGGTAGACAACTACTAATAAAAAAAATAATTTTAAAACATTTTCTCATTTTTCGCTTTGTAGGTAAAACGATGTACATCACACGTGCGTTTGAACATGACTACAAAACTCGTGCGTGATTAGAACGACTCGGTCTACGACCTCATCTTTCACACCCGTTATTGTAACCGTTGTAAATGTTCATAAACGCACTTGTAATGTAAATAACTATAATCGAATGGTTCTTAATATCACATCCGTAATTGTGTGAGCTCATATACAAAGCAAGGTGGAACACCTTTATTCCTCAAGATCTTCTTTTACTCTACCAGAACACTCTTACCAAAAATGTTTTTATACGACTTTGATTTCATTTTCATTAAACGGTTATTTTTTTTTTCAAAATAAAGTGGTTCCAAAAAGGGTTAGAATCATTCATAATTGATAAGAATACTTACTTCTTATTTTTATTTATAACATAATGGCTAAATCAAGCAAATTGATGGCCCGGAATATGGCCAACATGCGATTTCAGTGCGAACATATCAGTTTACAACTTTTCACACAATATACCCAAACACTTTCAGTAATTAGTGAGACGAAATTATAAATTGTTATTGTGTTATTTCTAGATCAAACTGCTTATATTACCATACAAGTAGAAGGAGATCCCCCACCAAAATTCAAATTCTACAAGGTACCTAATTCATTTATTACAAAATATTTTTTCAAGGCTTATAAATGATTCGTTTCAGAATGTAACCGAAATTATAGAAGGGGGCCGATTCAAATTCGTAACCGATGGAGAAAACAACCTTATTACCCTATGCATAAGGAAAGTAAAGCCCAACGATGAAGGTCAATACAAGGTAGTTGTTTCCAACGTACATGGAGAAGATTCCGCTGAAATGATGTTATACGTTGCTGGTAAGTTTAATGGTTATCCCCTTTATTCAACTTTTGTGATATAATTGCTTTGGGTAATAGGCGCTGGTGGTGTCGACTTTCGCTCTATGTTGATGAAGAGAAAATACGCCAAATGGGATAAAGATAAGGAGGATCCAGACTGGGGCGATCTCAAAGAAGTAGAAAAGCCCTTGCCAGCACTTAAGAAAGTGGAAAAGGTATGATATAGTTTCATTCCTAACTTCTACTTACAGGATTAGGCAACACAATATTAGAACAATGGGCGCATAAAAAACTTCTGCGGTATGATTAATATTTGATTCCTAGCTTCTGCCTCCAGGATCAGAACGACGACTAGGTACATACATTTCTTATCTGTTATAAAAGATACGGCTAAATGGAGGGGCCCACTTTAAATCGCGTGTACAAATGTATTTTATTAAACCAGAAACCACCTCGATTATTATCATTGAGGTGTTTCTAGACCGGTCCCGCCAAGCCGCGCCGAACCGCTCCGAACTGCGCCAAGCGTTTACGAACACATTTTGATCAAGCCACGCAGAAGCAGCTGGATCGCTCTGCCTCTGCAACACACTTGTTTGTCGGGTTCCACTTCGCGCGCGATCTCAATTAGATGAGCTGATATTGCGGTAGCTATAGCTAAAAAAATCGAAAGCTAAGCCGAGCGCGCACAAACAAGATAGACTCGCCGAACAGTATGTTCGTGCTTGTTCGTGCGAGCTTCAAGCTGATCGTCAACTGAAAGCGAAAACAAGCGGCTTCGAGCTCGTGCGGTACGAGTGTCAACCACCAACTATGCACGGCAGATCCCCATTTTCGGTAACGCTAGTCTGTTTTCGAACACCAGGTCAGCTAGCTTGCTAGTCATTAATTTATTGATATTTCATAGTTTTGGTTATCTTCGTCCTATCTTTATCTTGAGCTATGGATGAGGAGACGGATTAGCTTTTTCAATATAGGTTTCCTCCAACATAATCATATTACTCCTGATAATAAAAGTTACTAAAAAATACGCAGCTTCTGCATCCATGATAAGTTTAATGAAAACAAAACAGAAAAATCACAGTTCACTAGTTTTTAATTCCACTTTTCTTCTAAACTGAATAGACGATGGCCTGTAGTGGACGACCATTTCGCACGAGACCGCTTGTCTACAGCCACTTGGCGCTGGTATCGCGTGACCTCATAGCCACTTGTTCTTGCTTCCAGTGACACATCAGGCGTTTTGCGCGATTCGGAGCGGCTTGGCCGGTACCTTCAGCCACATAATTTATTGATTTAAATATGCTAGTTTATAAATGAGGAAAATAATCTACAGCTAGAGGATCTGGTCAAACCATGGTGTTCTTTCTGGAATACAACCTCTTGTTGAAGATAAATATCTTAGAGTATATCCATGCTAATTTACATAGTATAACCTGAAGTGTTCTCTTCCTTCTCAAATCAACTTGTGATCGAACGCCTGAAATATCTAGTCCAATAGTAAAGATATTATCTATTGTGTAGAAGCCTCTACGCTTCAAGCTATGCTCACAAAAATAATGTAAAGCTAGGCACAGGTAACAAATGCTTGTTAATTCGACGAAAGTTCTTGCCCAATAAGAGGAATTTTGCCGTTAATAAAAATATGATTTCGTACCTTGATAACGAGTGTGGGAACAACAAAACTTCATTTTCTTTATCTGAAATTAATCACAGAATTTCGAAGTTATCGTAATTTTGTACACCAGCACAAAATTAGATTTTTAGGCATCCTTTGTATGCTCACATATTGAAGACAGCAAGTCTGTTAAGCAAATTATTTTCCGGGATGGCTTACTCTTATTTTGAAAATATAATTGCAGCCTTGTCTTTAGTTTTTCTATTGCCTTTTTGCCTATAATACCCTACCCTCTCTCTCCATTGACATTCATGATGACACTGGTATGCAACTTTTGAAAGCATCTCAGATATTATCGAACTGAATAAGTATCTAGCGACGCAGCATCACGTCTTCCACTCATCATTTTTACCCACTGTAAAAATGTATGAAACAATTTTTCAATCCTACTTTCACCTTTTTACAATTTTTCTATTGGCAAAGTGAAATAAGTCCTGTAATAACTAGATAGCAAAAGGCTAATTTTGATACATATTCAGCTATTTGAAGTTTGAAGTAGAGGTATCCGTTCCTTTTCCCCCGCCCAAACTAAGCCAGTTATATTTATTCAGATAAAATTGTCAATAGTACTCACTGGACCAATAGTATAATAAAAATTCCGAAGACAGGAGGGTTCACATCAACCTAATAATATGTATACGAATAAAAGTTTTATTCAATTGGTTCCATTGATTTATTATTTCCCATTTCAGAGAATCATTGCAAATGGCACACACTATATATAAACATCCCATATGTCAAAATTTTACTTCTCTAACAAACAGATAATGTCAGAATCGTGTCAGACTGATAAATCAGTGGTGAACATAATAGTTTTTATTAACTGTTAAAGGAAAAAACAAAAATTGTACACCGCTGCACTGAATGGATTTATTGGTTAGAATTTTGACTTAATACGAGGGATGCTAAAAGAGTATAAAATGTGCCAATTGCAATGATTCTCACTGTACCAATTTATATTTCTTGTCTATTACAACTACAGGGGGGGAAATAAGTCATCTGGCAAATTTGCACAAATTTAAAAAAATCAAGTGCCATTTCACTGGGAAATAACAATCTAACCATGAAACAAAACCGTTATTGATCTCTCTCGGGGTCGACAAGCATACTAACTATGCTTAGCCGGCCGCGTTGCTAACGTACGTGAAATCCGAGCGAGAGCCGGGTGACTTATGCCCACCCCTGTATATTGTCTTACTGTGAATTTGTTGACCCAAAATAGAATGCTTAATTATTCACAACCACCTTATTTTTGTTTCAATTTCATTCCCCTTTAATTTAAATTTCTCAACTGCAGAGATATTGAGTAAGGTTTTTGTCATGCAAGATAACCTACGAGATTAAAATAATATTGTTTTTTCTACTTGCAGAGCAAAATTAAAACTAGACGTTTTTCGTTGTTTGGGATTTGGTTTGAGTGGCCATTACGCAAATCAGAGGTTTTTAAATATTTTTAAAAGCACCGTAATGCACCAAAATGCACTTTAATAAACTGAAATTGTAGTTCACCTAGATTTTTTTATTGCATATCTACCAAAAGTTCATACATATCTACTTAGTATTTTTGTTTTAAATTATGCCACATAAATCAGGTAGAGTTTGATAACGTCACAATGTAAGTTACCATATAATATATCGGTATTATGTACTTATCAATTATTTTTATATTAAAATGCAACTTTAGTACTTGTTGCCAGTATTAATTATTAAAACACGTCTTAGTGAAACAATCAGAGTTTTGAGGAAAGTATTAGAACACTCAAAGCTCCAAACTAATCTAGGAGCCAAAATGAATATTGTTTACCGTGATATTGAAAGTGTTCGGAGTGATGTAGTAATTAAACCATATTACAAATTGATCTTAACTGCTGTTGCAAAATATTCGCATCGTATAGTCCGTACATTTAAAATTTGAGAATTAAAAATTATAGATACTCATAGATCATAGAACTCTCCTAGTGGCTATTTATATGCGAATCTTCATCTCACGCGTTACTTGGTAACCAAGTAAAATAAGAATCATCATCTATAACCAACTAGAAGACTTCTATGATGTCGAACTTTGAATGTCTGTCAGTTTGTCTCGGTATTAAATATACGCACTTCCGTATAGGCAATATAATGAAAGGCAAAAAGTACGTACAGTAGTAGTTTTGGGTCTTCTAAGATACTAAATGTCAGATAGATTGGCCTTCTGCTACGGTGGCCATGGTACAAAAAGGTGGACGACTTTCCGTATTTTGAACATTTCAAGCAAAATTTGAATGCATCAAAATACATTATGATGTATTCACGGCCAATTACTAAAACACAATTTCATTGCAAATAACATTATGTTACTAACTATTTCGGTCAGTGAACTAAACCGGATTTCAAAGTCTCGGCGGTCCATCGGCTCAGGAGCTGCCCTTCTTTATATATTTCTGCTGTGGTGACGTAACATCTAATCCTAGAAGCTGCAGCTGAGTGGCATTTTGGAGAAGTCGCCACAGACCGAATCTCAGTAAACTGATCCTCTTTTCAAATATGAACTCCAATTTAAAATGTATGTCGAACTCAGATCAGAATTACCAGATATTATACGTCACATGCTAGTAACGATTCCGATGTCCCAACATCTACTCCTCAAACTGCTGGCTCCAATCACCTGATTATACCTAAAAGAATACAGTCATAGGAGATGACTCCTACATACATCTTATACGAGACAATACCGTATAAACAACCTGATGATTTTTAATATGCGCCTCGAAGAATGCACTTTCGAGTCGATCCACATTTCCTCGACGCTGTCGCACATTGGTTCTCAGCAAATTGAAACTTATAATGAATAAGGTGACAATTTCAAATAATAACAACGTGTTAGTTGCATTGGAGAGTCAGTGAATATGTATTAAGAACCACCAGATCCATTCAGATGGGCCTATCTCCAGCACAACTAAAACCTGATACATCGGCTGCGAGTCTGCGACGTACTAGCGAAGAGAAAAATCTGGTTCCATCAAGGTATGTCGACGGTGTTCCAACGATAACTATGAAAAACTTGAGCCATTTAGTACGTCCTCGGGTTAATCTGTTGATATTGAACCTTCGGGATCCCGCTCTAAAACCCACTTCGTCAGTGACGTCGCCTTCTCTTGATAATTGTTGCTCTTATCTGGATCCAAATCAATATTATGGGCTCATAAATTTTCCAAAACCATACATAACTTATTGCTTCCACAGACGACCAGACATGATAGATGACTTCAGAGGAACTGGAGATGCGATTTCCAAGCAGAGCTCTCACCATTTCCAGAGCAACCTTGTTTCCTATTCTCAAAAACTCCAGGTCATCGGTTTTCAAAGGTGATAGACCTAGGATTTGCTTCCGATGAGAAGTTTTCTTCTAGTCCTCATATCTAGCAAATGGTGGTCAGTGTATCCAGAACAGGTTTTATACTGAGAAACTGGAACCCTGTTTCTGATGTGCCCATTTTCAAGCTGTTCTACCTCTTATATAATATAAGATCAAGGATTGATTCACCTGTATGGTCTCATATATACAACTGCCATGGTCGCTCAGTGAAGCGCATCCTGAAAGGATTCATCAAATACCTGATTTTCAAAGAGAAGGGCACCTACCCGTAGCAGGGGTTCCAGCGTATCCACTCCAGGTGTAGATTCTCAGTCATTATCGTTTCTCTATGAGCCTCTCAAATTCAAAATATAATGTACATTTTTATTGTGACGTAGGAAAGCCGTCTAAATGCTAGCTAAATATAAACCAACTTTCTCCTGTATTCTTGCTAGATCAAATATTCGGTCGCATTTTCGCGATTTGCTACAATAGTTAGGACAGTCTTCTATCTATCTTCCTCTGAAATATTTGAACATTTAACTTGATTATATTCGTAAATTAATTAATTTTAGTTATCGTAAGAATTGTTAATTAACCACCTATCGGAAATGTATGGCTATTCATTTATTTATTTCCAGTCGATGTCACTGCGCCATCAAGGTACATTTTTGCTGGATACCTGCCTTTTTTCCTGGAATCGACGAGGTCGGTCCTTTGTGGAAATCTTACCCCAATAGCTTGCTCATAAATTCACCGTGATAATTATACTTATCCAGCTCCGGTATCGGGAACATTGCGTGCTGACGTCGCCTATACTCAGTACCCCTATTATATTATATTTCGTTCTGAGGAAATATAGGATATGATATAATGCTATAATAATCACCAAAATATGAATGTGCACACGCTTTTTTTAAAAATCTCTAAACTGGCCGCCATGATATAAGAAAAATATTGAGTTTAAATATGTTTGCCGAGAAGCCTAAAGATACAGCTGTACGAAGTCCCTTGTCTCTAAAGTTTTGCCTTTCATTGTTACACTCGGTTATTTGCCTAGCTGTATGAAAATTTCCGAAATTTCTTGTTTTTAAGTAGCTATCCACTAAAATTACTAATACTGGTAAACGTACTACAAATAGAAGCATCTATTTTCTTACCACTGAATGTATCTCTATTTCCATAGTATCTATTAAAATAACACGACAACAAAATGTCCATAAATTTTATTGACAATAAGTTATGTATTGTGCTCAGCGAGGAACACTTCAATACAATTTCCAATGCTTACATTAGGATATTTGTTGATATCTACCTACTTGCTAATATTTCTGATATATCCCAGAAAAATTTGGGAAAATTGATGTAAGTAATAAAGTTTAATGATCATTTGATCCTAGTAGCGTAGGAATATTTTGGATACTTGATGGCAAAACTGCGCACTAAAAATATAATGCTGCATTGGGATTGTAAACCCAATCAGCCGCATTTGATCGATTCGACTTAAAAATAATAATTATGTTTGCTCCAAATAGTATTTTCAGTTCTGTTCCATAATATGTACACGAATAAACAAATTGAACTTTTAATTATCCAACCTAGTTCATGAGTTTTCAATCCGCCAATTTTTTTGATACATGAGATACAAAAATGCCTTGGTTATTTATTAGCCAAAAAGTTCTTCACTAAAGTTTGCAAAAAAGGGTTAATTTAGCACTTTTGATGTTCATCATGGAGGAATCATCCAGAGTGATAAGTGTAAATTGCCTTTCATTTCTGTTTCATCCAAAGTGTACACTAAAAAGGAAGGATGAAACAATTTCACCCCCGGCCAACTTTTTATGAGAGAAGCGTTCCCCGAACCGATGATTCATCCACAATGAAGGCCTAGTGAAAAATGTAAACAGCCGCGGTCTTCATTTTTCAGTTCATTCCACAATCACCAGTCGAATTTAAATGCCCATGGTCTCACTTACCAAATTCTTGAGATAAGATTAGGGACAGATAAATGCAAACAAAAAATTGGAAATGGAAAAGGAAAATAGCATGCATCGCCTTGGGCCTTGGAAGAGTGAAATGGATACAAACAGTTTTTCGCAAACATCTTATTCTGATTCTGCATTTTTACCTTACATGCCTGTTTATGTTATCTGGATCAGTCTATATCTATCAGTTCATAGTACAATTACGGGTTGCAAGCCCAACAGACCTACTGTGCTATACAATTGAGTTTTACTATTGTTTTTTGCGAATTAATGTGGTAGCATAAATGAGGTGAATGACTGATAAATTTAGCACCACGACAGATTAGGATATTAAATTACTTATAATAAATAACAGGCCGAAACATTGGGTAGGTAGTTATAGTTTCGCATTCAATAAAAGAGTCGTTTAATAACCATATCTAAGCCGAAATTCTTTATTGAAAAAATCAACAAATATCCTATTACAAGATTTTCTAGCATTATTATATTCGCACGCATTCGATACCTATCTATTAGTCAATATCTGCTTAGTGGACGAAGCCCTGTTAGATTCTATTTAACATAGACGCTTGAATCTGAGTTACAGTTTTCTTTTTAGAATCCTGTATCTTCCAGAAGGCCTTCATTGGCAGAGCTTATTCCAGATTGGCCGATTTTGCACCATTTTGAAAAAAGAGAGGTTTGGGACAGGCAGCTCTCGACAATGTGTTGTTAATGTTTGTTGTGCACGATAGCATAGCAATGCTGTAATCCTATCCAGTGTTCCCACTTTAACATTTTTTTTTTTGCAAGCTAATGTTCCAAAACTAGATGTTGTGTCTGGTGTACCGCAGTGAACAAGCAGTTTCACCTTGTAAATATGATATTTTTTGTATATACAAATATTTTTATTTTATTTTTTTTTCCAACAGGAATTTTTGATGGAAACCAGCATATTTTTTTTTTTGTTAATGTAAATGTTGTATAATTCATCTGATTTTGTATTTATTTGATTGGACGGTCTTATTATTTTTTAGAAATCTGAAACTTTCTTGAAACCACTAGTTGACCAATATGCGAAAGAAGGGAAAGACAAGAAAGTGGTTTTTGAAGCTGGATTCTCCAAACCAAACTGTAAACCTAAATGGCTTTTCAGGAAAGATGTATGAACGATTAATTATAACACCTTTTTTTAATAATTCAACTAATTCTTCTTTATTATAGGAACTATTCCAAGGAGCAAAATATAAATTCAAGAACGAAAATGATCTCTACCAACTTATAATTGCAAATCCGAAAGTCGAAGATTCAGGCAAATACAGTATTGAAATCGGTGGTGTGAGTTGTACAGCTTTCCTAAACGTCGAAGAACCAGATCCTTGTTATACATTTACCAAACCGCTAAAGAAGAAATACGATGGATACACCAAACATGAAGTTGAACTTGCTTGTACTGTAAGCAATAGTTTGGCAATTGTTGGATGGTACAAAGGTACACAAAAACTGGAAGATGGAGAAAAATATCAGATATCCAAAGATCTTAGTGGTGTATGCCGCCTAACTATTAAAGACTGTACTTTTGATGACATAGCTGAATATACTTGCAAACTAGAAAAACAACCTGACAAAACAGTAGCCAAAGTAAATATTGTAGAATACCCTTACAAATTTGTAAAGGTACTAAAACATCAACAGCATGTTGAGAAAGAAAATATTACTTTTCTTTGTGAACTCAATGATGCTGGTGGTGACGTAAAATGGTTTAAAGGAGATCAAGAAATTGCTCCAGATAAAAGACTAGTTGTGAGCAAAGATGGCAGAAAAAGAAAACTGGTAATAAAAGATGCCAAAGTAACTGATGCTGGCATGTACTCTTGTGTCAGTAACGCAGACAAAACCGAAGCCGAATTAGTCGTAAATTATCTTAACCGCTTTAATAAAAAGCTTAAAGATACTGTTGCAGTAGAGCGTGAGAGATTAGTTTTGGACATTGAATTGCAAGATCAAACAGCTCCAGCGGAATGGTTTTTCAATGGAGAACCCATTGTACCATCTGATCGAGTGGAAATTAAAAACTTGGGAGGTGGCAAGCATCAACTTATCTTTAACAAACTTGATATGGCTGACGATGGGGAAATTAAAGTTAAATCTGGACAATTAGAATCAGGAATGACACTAAGTGTGAAGAAAGGTGAAAGTGCGCCAAAAATCAACTTCCCAGCCACTTTTGAAGCACCCATCAGCCACGCTATAAGTTTAGAAGTTCCTTATACAAGTGAGTACCTATCTGGATTTTTGCGTTTAAATGGGTTTCTGAATTGTTTAACATCAAATAAATATAAGTTTGTACATGATTTTTACTTGACTGTCTTCTCTAGAACAACCTTATTTGTTTTGTAACTAATTGAGCTTCGCCAATTCATAATACATAACACATTTTTTTTCATTCATATGTAGCATGAGGGAATATAAAAAGACCGCTAGAGGAAATTTTTTAGAGGCCTCAAGGGCGGCGTGGGCATGAGAAAAAAACGAACCATTGCTTTCTTACTTTGTTTTGAACTTGAAGTTGGATTTTTTTTTGTGCTATGCAAGTAGAAATATACTATCCACTCTATAACCCCAAAGCCGTATTATGCATTCTTGCACGTAAATAAAATAAGTTCATGTATGTATATAATCTATATTTTTGAGCTAAAAAACTAAAACATTGGTTCCCTGGATTACCTTCTCCAAAAAAAAGGTTCCCAGAAATGTTAGAAACTTCAAATGTAGAAGGTTTGCAACATGCCGATTAGGTATTTACCCTGTTGGCAAATGTGACATTTTTGAAACTTTGGCAAGCTCTCTAATCGTAATGGTTTGACTTGAACGAAAATCTATTGCACATTCCTATAATAGTTTTTTATTCTATTTTATCTTTCGTTTTTTTTTTCCGGAAATGACGAGTTTTCAGTACTCGGTCGTCAAATAACAATAACAATAATTGTAAACTAAAAAATGTTAATAAACGATCTTATTCTAAATGAAACTTTTTTGAAAACATTTTTTATCCTCTGAAAGTTTTGAAAATGTCAATTTTCAACTACCGGTACCTATCTCAGAAACAGTTGAAGGTAAGTTTAGGATATTACAGGAACAGTCGAGAAATCACGTTTAAAAAAACTATTTAAAATAATTATACAGAAACGAAATTGCAGCTTATTTGAACTTTTTTTATTCACGTATTAATCAATTGCCAACGGCTAGACTAGTAATTGCGGTGCTTGTTTTTTGAAATTAAAAAACATAAAAAATACATAATTCCAACGGACATCTAAAAATTCAAACCAGCCGTGCAATGGTTACAAGCTACAAATTGATACTGAGTATCAATTTGTTGTCCGTTGGAATTATGTATTTTTTATGTTTTTTAATTTCAAAAAACAAGCACCACAATTACTAGTCTAGCCCTGAGGATGACACGCATCCGTGTCGAAACGTTGGCAATTGATTAATACGTGAATAAAAAAAGTCCAAATAAGCTGCAATTTCGTTTCTGTACAAGTGTGTGGACGTGAACTACCTTTCAAATTAAAATAATTATGTAGTTTTTTGATTGTCATTTATTAGCGCTATGGTTGGTCTATCAGCAGTAAAAGTAATTTTTAAAAAATCATATTTAAAGACTTCTGTTTTAAAGGCCAATACATTTTTAATTTGGGACATTACTTCATGGACTGAAAACGTGGTTAGAATTTCCAGTAGAATCAAAAAAATCAAACAATATATAGGGTGCTGCATTGAAAAATAAAACAATGTGACCCATTTTATCGGAAAAATGGTTTACACAGAATGAGCAATTGCCTATTGAATATCATGACGAAATTGGACAGCATTGTGTAATGGTTGAAACAGCTATGCTGACAGCCTACTAAGAATCAAAGGGCTAAGGAAATGTCAAAATTAGTTTGATGAGTGTCTAATTTATTTATGTACACTTTTGCAATATCGAAAAAAATTAAACACTTGTACCTAGATTAGATTAGATTAGATTGTGTTAGGGGCGTTTAGGTGATAGACCTCTCTGCACTGCGACCTGAATAGATCTATTGTGCTTCCCCTTTTTCTAGTAGGTTCCCAGGTTGAGACTTTTCGCGAATCTTACAATTTTTCCGGGATTGGTACGTTTAAGATCCGCAGCAGTCAAATGTGTCTGCTCGAGATAAGTCTTCTGTGACATAATGCTTCGCATTTGCAGAGTATATGTTCGGCAGATTCGGATGCTTCTTTGCAGAAACGGCAAAGGTCTGATTCAGCTTTACCCATCTTTTCCAGGTGGTAGCCAAGAGGGCAGTGGCCGGTGATGACACCCGTTATGAGCCTCAAGTCTGGTTTGCTGAGTTCGAGTAGTTCCTTTGCCTTTGTTGACTTTGGCGAGATGAATTGCTTCGCCTGTCTAAGTCCTGGAGTATTGTTCCAATGGGAGGCCTGCTGTGCATCTACCCATTTTTTGAGTTCGGTCCTTACATGGCTTTTTGTAAGGCCAAAGAAGGGTTCTGGACCGAGGAATGGTGACGCGGCGCCTTCTCTTGCAAGCCGGTCCGCTATTTCATTTCCTTCTATATTTTGGTGCCCTGGTACCCATGCTAGAGTGACTCTATTGCAGTTTGCCAGTTGCTTTAGAAGTTGCTGACAGTCCCAGACTAGTCTGGATTTGGTGACAAAGCTGTTAAGAGCCTTAAGTGCTACCTGATTATCAGAATTGATGAAGATTCTTGCACCTCGTAGGTCCATTTCAAGACACTTTCTGGTGTACCTATGTAAACTTGAACTTTAAACTGGAGTCATTTGTAAAATAATTGCGAAATCCCATTTTTTTTAACAAGAAAAAATAATTACTGCTGCAACGCAACTTAACTAACTAGAAAAACAAGTCTCTACACGAGTGAACAAACAGACAACAACGCTGTTATTTTTATCACTCTCCATAAAACCGTTCTTTGATAGGTTTTTCTGAAAGTTAGCTATTGGCGTAAAGGCTAAAACTTAATGTAACACATAAATATGCCACACGTTTAAAGAACATCCTCACACGTTTAAAGAACATCCTCTTTCTACAAATTTACTTCCAAAAACTGTATAATATCAAGGTTGGAACACACTGAATCCAAACTAGTTGGTTTGGACTTGAATTCTGGGAGATCGGAAATAATATCCACATTTATATTCGGACAATTGGATTCGAACAGAAATATCTAAATTTGAAGGAGATATGGCAAGACAATAAGTCAGCAGGATTATCCTTGGATGCAATATGATGGGAATTTTGATTAAGTGTTTTATCCTGAATTTCGAATGTGCAATTCTCCACAGAAGTGTTTGATAAATAAGGTTATGTATTCATCCACTCAGGACTATCATGGAATCAGTCCAATGCGAACATGCCGAGGGCTTTGAAAATTATTTAATTCAAGAAGTTCATACTTCAAGTTTATCCATCATGTAGTATAAATTTCAATGGAGACTGTTTCGTCCCAACTGACTTTTTCGAGTCACAACTTTTGCGAGAATATTTTTGCTTTCATGATGCATGCGCTGAAGACGCAAAGCAGATCAAAACATTGTCTAATGCTGGAGAATATCATCTATTTCGTACTGTTCTGTTTGTAAAGGAAGTGAAATATTCAAAGCTAATAATTCTGACTTTGCTCAACAAAATGCCTCCAGTTTAAGCGTTTTCTTCAAAACTCAATTCAATACATGAATTATAAAACTTGAATTTCTAAAATCCTCTAAAAATTTTGCATTATTTGAGGTCCACTTCCTGAATTCAAAACCACCCTGCTGTAAAGTTTGAGAAAGTTGTTGGCAATATAATGAAAGTATGTCAAGGAGTATTTCATCAACATAAAAATTATTTTGAATAATATGAGAAGCTTCAGGATATTCATCTTAGTTTTCAGTTGCTAATGGAACTAATGACCTAATTGCCAAAAATGAACATCTGGTGGTTCCAAATTTCATATGTAACTGTGTTTAGCTGGAACAAAGATAATGGATCAGACCATCCGATAAATTTTGGCGATATCTGCTGAAGCTGCATAAGAAAATTGCCTTTAATTTACATGTTACATTTGATGTACACTTGGCCAAACATAAAACTGGTACAGGGAATATATATTTTTTAAATTTGCCTAGTGGGAGTCAGGCTTAACAACAAAAAGTGTCTTCCGAAAAACGCGAAAAACTCAGATCAGACAGGTTTTCTCAACGTCAAAGCTGAACAAAAGTAAATGTAACATGTTTTTATGTTATGATTGGTTTAATAATATGATACTGACTTGACTCTTTTTGTCATCGTTGAGGTGATAAAAAAGGTCGATTTACACAATACAACACAATATGAAAATGCGTACCAGTTTTATGATTGGCCAAGTGTAACTCCAGAAGAGGTAGAGGCCGAAACATTGAAAACTGCTCGTAAGTTGTTAGTCAAACTTTCTTTCCACAATAGGCTATGATGAGGTAGAAAGTATTCAATATTTGGATACAAAATTGTATTGAGTTAAAGTTTTTTCCAACGGCGTAGTCATTTGACCTTGATCTTCCATACTCTCGCATAAAAATTTTGTATCTCTCTAACAAAACTGTATTTTTATGCAACCTGCGCTCAAAACTACGATATTTTTTGATTGTCATATGTTTCGAATCACCCAAGTCAGATGATAAAGGATGTTTAGATAGAATTGCAACTACGAATTTACAATCAGAAGTTCTTTCCAAATTTTCCAGCAAATTTGCCTCACACTTTTATTGTTCTGTTGAATATAATGGCCTATCTGAAGGACACTTTTCAATGGCCTAAAACCTTGAAAGATTATCTTGCTCTTGAATTTCTGTTGAAAATACAAAATTATAAATTGAATAATTATTTGAAGATGACACTTTTGTGGAACCCGACACAACCCACCCCAACTTTGGTTTATGGAGAATTGGTTTTACCAGACCAACACAAAGCAGCTACCAATAAAGTTCTACGCTAATGAGTAGATCAATCTTTGCAGGCTTCGAAAATTCTGCATCTGCTAATTTTATATTGTTTGGAATGTCGAAGTCAGACATATCAATTGCGGCTCCTGGAAGAAGATCCCAAACAGTTGGAATAACCAAACATGATATGTCCGCTACTACTTGAATGTCTACTGAAAAGGCGTCGTGTCAAGAGCGAACTTGAACCTTGTAACTGTATTTTCTATCAAAAGTCATTTGACCTTTACATTGAACTGGAATGTA